TATTTCAGATTTAACCAATAAAAATTACAAAAAAGAAGTAAGTTTCAAATATAAAACAATCAAAAACAAACTTAAAAAATCGGTTTTTTCTTTAGTGAAAATATCATGGGTGTTGCAACAGAAAAGTAAGACACTTTCATTGATAACTGCGTCTACAAAGAAATACTTCAATAAAATCTACTCTGTGATGTAATGCTATAATGATAGCTTATTTCTAAAGAAAAAGTTCAATAAAATCCTTTCTCTCATGGATGGTGAACGTTATTGAATGTCAAGTATAATTATCATATCATAAACTAAGTTAATATTTACCATTATTGTATCTTCTAATTATCATATCATAAACTATATTATTATTTCCATTATTGTGTCTTCTAATTATCATATCAGAAACTATGTCATTATTTACCATTATTGTGTCTTCTAATTATCATATCATAAACTAAGTTAATATTTACCATTATTGTATCTTCTAATTATCATATCATAAACTATATTATTATTTACCATTATTGTGTCTTCTAATTATCATATCAGAAACTATGTTATTATTTATCATTATTGTGTCTTCTAATTATCATATCAGAAACTATGTTATTATTTACCATTATTGTGTCTTCTACTCAAGTTCCATGACGTTCGATCGAGTATTTTGCCATCCACGAAACTTGACACAGCTAGGCCTAAAAGGATCCAGACTGTTAAATAACAACGTTCTCTACTAGTGCACATAGTGGTTGAAGATAACTAAGTACCGTTTAGCGTTTGGTCATGTCCACAAAACGTGTTTCTGGGTTACACTGCTTACCTCTGCTCTAGGTTGAAAACAAACGCAGTGAGATAGAAAAGAAGACTTCGACTTTAAATACTGCAGAGAATCTAGCTGCTGGCCTTGACAGGTAAGTAGGCCTACTGACCTTACGTCATCATGTACGCATGTGTGAGGAACAGGGGTTAGGCTTACCGATTAATGTGGATTCTGGGCGTTGACCGAACACACCAAGTGTGTGATAGGCATTTAAAGTTGATTTTCCAGACGAAAGTGGGCAAGACGTCAGACACTTGACTTTTTTTTATATATATGTAACTGTGGGCGTGTTTGCAAAAGTCAAATGTCCAGGGGGCGAAATAAAAACGTTTTTAATGATTAGTCCTATACCTAACCAGGACTTTTCTCGACATCAAACAAACAAGAAAAAAGTTTTGTCCGTGTTTATTATGTTACCCGTTGTTTTGATCCGCAAAAAGGAAGATGATTGGGTTACAGTAGAAAATTTAAAATCGAAATGAAAACAATGACAACGTCTGCGTATTATTTATTAAGATTATGAACAAAGCTAAATTATGTACATTTAAGTAAAACTTCTGGAAGTTCCAAGTATGACACATACGGTTTCCTGTTGTTTTATTAATTAAACTGAACAGGTAGGAGGACATGACGTCATGTTACTTGTTTTTTCACTAGTCAACAGTGGGCGAATTCAAGGAGTAGCTAAGTAAAGAAATGCGATCATCTGACATAAGCTTTGTAAGAGGATAAAACTGTATTTAAAGTCTCATAGCTTAATGGAAACGTTACCAGGTAAATTATCCAAATACAAAGCCATATCACTTTGATTCTCACTGTACAATTGTGTTCCATAAATGTATTTTCTATTTATATTTTTACTTAAGTCTGTTTGTTTCTTGTCTTTACAGCAAGATATGTGGCCACCCCTAATTTTGAACTGCCGACAGCAAGAAAGGAAAATGGCCGGAAGTATCCACCGCCAACTCTTGGACGACTTTTTGCCAACGAATAGTATAAATGACCGTTATAACCCCAAGGTTGAAAAGGGAAGCATGATCAGCACTGAGTTTCGATCCCGTGACCTGTACATTCCAAGAAGTCGATCGCCCTAACCTCCAGGTCAAGTCAGGCCTTTTTACTAATTTAAATATTCCACAAATCGTTACTAACCCTTCGAAACAATTTGTTTTAGAATACAGAAAACATTGAACGAATCAATCGCGTGACTGTTCTCTTCACTCAATATTTTCTTTCATCTAGTTTTAAAACTGGTGATTAATTTTCATAATTTGAGTAGTGTTTATTATTTCCTGTGTTGTAGAACATCTTAGTGGAAATATCCACGTGGTTCGGCTGGTCTTTTCCATACATAACCTTCCGAAGTTTAATGATATTTCGAATACTTTGTATTTTGTTTTTGGTGTCCTGTGTCTGGAATTTAATTGCGGTATATAGAACTTATGAACGATAGAGAAACAAAAACAACAACAACAAACAAACAAAACACGTAGTTTATTAAAACTACTTATCACACAAAATATCTTAATTTTAAGCCACGTTCAGCTGATATTTGGACTTTCGACAAAGTTCGGTTATCACAAACACTGCTATAATAGTATCAGACAAATTCATCAGACATAAAATAGAAACTACATAAGTTTAAGTGTTTTCATTTGCAAAATCATGCTGTTTGCAATATAATATGAAATTATATTTTGCTTCGGCTTTCTAATACATAGCTATCTGCTTTATTGGAACCTTTTGTTCTCGGTAAGAATTTGTTTCCAAATGACCGTAAAAATAAAGATTATTGTGAAATTATTCAAGTAAAAATATAAGACAGTGTTTAGTTTGATGTGTCCTAACGTTAACGACATACGTAATAAACAAACACAAATTTTTATTACAGTTTTATTAAACAGTAAATCAACAAACACCCAACTAAAATAAACACAAGCAATTATTTCAGATTTTGTAAAGTTTCCGGTTGTATAGTAACAATACGAATATAATAACTGTTTTTTTTTGTTTTTTAGAGAACGAGTAGAATTTAATGAGTAGCAAAATATGAGAGACGATATCAAAAAAGGCAGTTATTTCAAAATTGTGATTATTAACATCTGAGAAGATAAGAAATATAGATTAAGATGGTGGAATTCTACAAGAATGTTGTAAAAAGTAATAAAAGAGATAATATTGTTGTTGTTTGTTATTAAGCAAAAATCTACACAAAGGGCTCTTTGTGCTCTGCCCACTACGGGTATCGAAACCCGGTGTTTAGCAGTATAAGTCCGCAGACGTACCACTGTGCCACTGGGAGGGGGGGGGGCGAAAGAGATAATAATTGGTGGAATATTATATAATAAAATTTATTTTATATAGGGGCGTTTTAGT